ATTACAAATAATATTGGTAATATTGAGCCAATTTTCAAGCTGTGACGTCATAATACTAGAAAAATGCGTAATATCGAGGTAATATTACCAGTAATATGGCTAATATTGGTGTAATATTTGAGGTAATATCAGTCCGTGTACGGTGGAATATCGAAGTTGACGACCCCTCGAGTGTAACAGACAGACAGACAGACACACAGGCACGAGGTCGTTTGCATAAGCCCGCTGGATAGCTTTTTCACAGCAGAGGGGCAGGCTAAAACGAGGGGTCCTCCACTGTCCAAGTGGGTGTACAACGAGTTGCGTGAGTGGCCGCGAGTATTCGAGTGTATTAGCGAGTACCCGCGAGTTTATGCGAGTAATGGCAAGTATCCGCGAGTATAAAGCGAGTATTTCTCGATTTTTTAACGAGTTTTCGCAAATTTTCCGCGAGTTGTCACGAGTTGTCGCGAGTATGTTGCGAGTATTTTTCCTCGTGTACAACGAGTTGGCGAGTGGGGGACCCCTGGGGCTAAAAACAGCCAAAAACGGAACCAAAAAACGTTTTTTTCAACAAATCGAGGGAACTTTTTAACATTTGGTGCTGTTAGGCCCCTTAAAGAACCCTTCGGGGTTCGAAAGCCTGATCCAGTGTCTGGGTTTGTTCGCATGTCATCCTGGACAAGACTGAAAGAACCCATTCCACGCTTAAAAAATCCATGGAAACTCGCAGGATTGCCAAAACGTGATCGGGGTGGGCAAAATCAACCTCTTCTGGGTTCTACCAGGTGGACGCGTGTAGGGTGGGGTGGCCGACTTGGCCCGCCCGTCAAAAGGTGTGCCCGACCTTCCTCTTGGAGGGCGCGAAGAATCCGACACCTGGTCCGATTGCTTCAAGAGTTGCCAGATCGAGGGAAATTTCCCTTTTTCGGGGAAATTCTGAGGGGCGGAGGGAAAAAGGGAAAATATGCGCAAAAAAGGGAAATTCCTGGAGAATGTGAAATAATGTGCATATTTTAGCGAGGGGGTAATCACTCCGTGAAAATGCGTACACCTCAACTTTTCACTTTTCCACTTTTATTCACTTTTTCACAGTTTTACAACGTTTACTTTATTTCTATGCCTATATCCCCTCTATTTTATTCATTTATGATCTGATCAAGGCACGATAAGTCACTTTTGTCCACATTTTCTTTCAGTTTTCATCACTTTTAGTCA